TGATAATAATGAGTGGCAATAATTGGCAGTAAAAGTCTATTCAGCAAATTCATAGCGCTGTAAGAAATCAATTGTTAATCCCATGAAACAAGTAATGCATTTAAATTTTAAACTTGGAAATCGCAAAGAATTTTTAAAATCACAATAAAATATTGTATTCAATGGTCAGTACCCCTGAGATAGTACATCGTAAGGCACCGGATGGGGGCTGGGGTTGGGTTGTGGTGTTTGGATCGTTTATGATCAGTCTTATAGGCGATGGCTTTTCTTACACTACGGGTCTGTTTTACACCAAATTCCTAACGGAATACCACGAGTCAGAGGCAATCACTTCATTGTTTGACTCCATTATGACGGGAATGATCTATTGCTCAGGTATTCCCCAATAACACTAGTCTATCATTACATGTATCAGAATATTCTGTGCGAACACTGTTTAGGTCCGGTGGCCGGTGGTCTCACAACAACCTACGGGTGCCGTAAAATAGCAATCATAGGGTCTGTTATAACAGTATCGGGAATGTTAAGCAGTATTATATTGGATAACATTTATACTCATTGTTTAACACTGGGTGTCATAACTGGTAATTTGATTGAATAATTTGTATAGAATTTTGTAATATTTAACTCTTGGGCGACGAGTAGGTACTGGTCTGGGGTTACTATACTTACCACAAGTAATGATAGTCACGTATTGGTTTGACAAACGGTTATCATTGGCCACAGGCATAGGTGTTTGCGGGTCTGGTATAGGAATAGCTATATTCGCGTTACTGTCGGATCACTTGATAGAGACGTACGGCTGGAAGGGAGCGATGCTTCTGCTGTCGGGCCTTATGTTCAGTTGTGTCGCCTTTTCGTCGCTCTTCCGGAAAGTGGATTACATGGAGGAGAAGAGTGACCTCAAGACAGCCCTCACTGAGACCTTTGACTTCCATATCCTTACGGATGTGGTGTTCGTATACTTCGCTTTCGCCAACTTCTTGTGCGGTGCCGTCTATTACGTGCCCATCATTTTCCTGAAAGACCACGTCGTGAAGACAGGAATAGGAACGGGAGGGGATGCCGTCAATCTTATGGTGTTCTTCGGTCTCTCCAACGCTTTCGGCAGAGCTTTCTTCGGATATATCGCAGACTTTCCATCACTTAATCGTATTATACTCTACGGTCTGTCTGTCCTGTCATACGGTGTGGCCATTGGTTTGATCGCTGCTTTCGGACAAAACTATACAATTCTCATCATTTTAATCATTATTTTTGGTTTAACTGAAGGTTTCTATCAATGATTCAATACTTTTGTTAATGTGTTCAATAATCTGATGGCATTTTAGGCGCTTTTATCACTCTATCATCGGTAGTAATCGTAGACTTGTTTGGTATAGAAAAAGTAACCAATGTATTCGGGGTCATTAATCTCATTGTCGGTATTTCCTCTTTTATAGGACCACCACTTATAGGTATAGTTTTCGTAATTAATTATTCATTAAAAAAATTCCCCAAAATAGGGAAAACTTTTGATGAGAAGACTGGATACAGAACAGGCTTTTGGATAACATCTATACTTACGATAATAAGTGGAGTTTTACTCTTATTTTTGCCATTAATACTCAAAAAGTTTAAACAAATTCAGAAAACTATTAGTGTTTGTGTTGAAAATAATTAATAATTCTCAATAAAGTGTACAATATATTAATAAAACAAATACTATTATCACAAATATATATTTAATAATTAATTAATTTAAAAATTTAAAGAAAAATATTTCATTCATAAAAACACACAAAGAATATGGTTCCCAATCAAAAGACCTAATTTTGATCCAATACAATTATATAAGGGAATATTGGATTGAAGTCGTTTTTTTTGCATTTTTACCATAAATTAGGTTTTTTCGATCAAAATTAGGTCTTTTGATGAACCACCAAAAAATATAAATACGATGCAAGTATTACAAAAGTTGTCATAATTTTGATGGGTCAGCTGTTCCCGGGCACCAACTGGGATACCCAGAAACCACTTTCAACACTACTGACTCAGTAGTACTGAGTATCATTACTACTACGAAAAGTTTTGAGTCACTTTTCACTTTGAATTCATTTTTGCATTCAATATCGCAGTAATATCAGGGACGATTTCACGAAATGAGTCTTTTCACTCTTCTTTTAAATATCTGTAATAGTGGTAAACACTACTGTACTGTCATATTAAAAGATGAGTTGAAAGACTCATTTCGTTAAATGATCCAGATATATTAATTATGGAGCGCATTATACATTTACGTAACATTTATTATACATTTATTATACATTTATAAATTTATTTATACATTTATTATACATTTACATTATATTATTATACTATAGTATAGTAACTATACAGTACAGTAGATCATTTGAATCTCAAACTTTGAAATTCTGTTCAATAATTTGCATTCAATGGTCGGTTCTTCTGAGATAATACATCGAACAGCACCGGATGGGGGCTGGGGTTGGGTTGTGGTGTTTGGATCGTTTATGATCAGTGTTATAACCGATGGATTTTTCTACACTTCGGGTCTGTTTTACGCCAAATTCCTAACGGAATACCACGAGTCAGAGGCAATCACTTCATTGTTTGACTCCATTATGATGGCAATGATCTATTGCTCAGGTATTAGCACTTCTCAACTCAATTACCATTAGTTATATCAGAATATTCTGTGCGAACACTGTTTAGGTCCGGTGGCCGGTGGTCTCACAAAAACCTACGGGTGCCGTAAAATATCAATC